AGTATTTTAAATTTGCTATATAATATTTATTGAATATGCTTACCTTTAATGTAGGATTTACTATACAAATTAGGGAAAACCTTACAGTTGCTAGTTGTCCCAGCAGCTGTGTCAGGTAGATAAAGCATTTATAGAGCTCGCTTCACATGACTGATACATAACAGCACAGAGCAGTGCTATAGTTTAGAATAGGAAATAAAAACCAGTACAGAAAGTGAGGACAAACTCAAGAGGCAGGAGTGATTTAAAGCAGGCAGAGCATAAATTATCTGTGCTGATGTTGAGATAGGATACATATTTAACAGCCTGAACTTGCAAAAATGAGAGCTTCTACTGACCACGAAAATTCAGGACCTGACTTCTTCACATTCCTTCCTGTCCTCTTGCACCACTAAAAGCTCCAGCCTTGATATCCCGTTTGATTCTCTGTCAAACAGAAATGTATTTTCACCTTCTTCCATGTTGTCCATGGTACTTGAAATACACTCCTGTAACCTATTTTTGAAGTTACCTCACATCATTTGGCTCTTTCATGAACCTCACTTCTTCTTTAAAGCCTGTAAGTGAAGCAATTAAAACTCAAGACAAACACTCACACAGCTTTAATTGTAGCATTTCCTAACTTTTGGGTACTTGACTTTGTAACCTGAATAATTTTCTTTTAATGCAAGAGCAAGGAACCTGTCACCTATAGGCTGCATCCAGCCCACTGCTTCTTTTCATCTGGCCCTTGACAAATCTCCATGCCACAGGCCAGAAGCCCCAAACTTCAGTGCCCCCTGCAGGGCTGGAACCACAAGCACCGGCTTGCCAGCATATGTCTATAGCCCCTAGGACGAGTAGTGGGGCAACTGCCTCAGGTAAATGCCATGGGGCCAGAGCCCATATGCCACTCCAGGTTAGAACCTCTGAGACAGGCATCTGGACCTCTCTCAAAAGTTGTACCACTTCTCTCCTTCTCAACTGGTTCAGTCAGTATATTCAGAGGAAAAGCTGAAATCGGTACTGACCATTCCAAAGGGGTCTTCCTCATCTTCTCCACTGGATGAAGCAGTTTCAGGAGCTGTTGCAAAGGATCACTGACAATCTGCACATCCTATTAGAAGATTCCAGGACCTCTTACAGCGAAGACTGAGCAGGATGGCCCTTCCAATTAACAAGGTATATTAGAATTGGCCTGAACAGTTTGCCACATATTAGCATCTTGTGTCCCTATACTAAAGATTCAGAGCATATGATTTTGTTCATGCTGAAAAAAACTTTATTATCTCATTCTGCCCCTAATTGGTGGTACAGGCGGCTACAGAAAGAGCTTGGTTGCACTCCCAGAAATCCATCCCAGCAGTGAAATACTCAGACTACACCTCCAAAGAAAGAAAGTCTTCTGCACAAGTCTCTGATTTCGTACAGCTAATTAACAAGCTTTGTTAGCAAAATGCAATTTTGACGCTTTTTGCCAGGCTTCCAGACTTCAGAGACAAACCCTGTGGAAGACTAAGCCCAATTCCAAACCCTTCTGGAAGAGTGGAAGCTAGTAGCAAAGGTGACTATCTAGGCTACAGTAGATGCTGCTGACATAGGGCCAAGAAGTGTGGCCCCAGGACTGGTCATGCAAAAGAACTTATGTTTCCAGTCATTGAGCTTCCCTAGAAAGTTCCAAAACACCATCTAGGACAATGTTTCTTAAACTGTGTTCCACGGCACGAGGCAGTCGGAGGTGTGCTACGGAGAACAGAATTCAAAATGGCAGCCCTTAAAGGGGTATGTGACTTTTTCCCCTCAATGGCTTTCCCCCGTCTGTCCATTCCCCGCCCCCCCCCCTTTATTTTTTTCCCCAAACCAAAAATCCTTGGTGTTCCTCATTTTAAAAAAAAATTGGTGTTCCTCAGTCTTAAAAAATTTAAGAAACACTGATCTAGGACCTTTCCTTCAGCAAATTCAGCCATTTTAATGAAAAGACTGATTAACTCTGCACTCTTTCTAAACATTTCAAGATCTGCTCTGTGATCCCTGAGGCTTTACACTCCAGCCTCTAGGAAGATACACCAGAGAGACAGCATGTCCCTACACAACCAGCTTCTTCACATGCTTCATATCACCAAAGTCTACCTGAGCCTTTCTATAAATTAGAGGATTCAGAGGTCTTGTTTCACTGTTTGCTCTTCTGTCACAAATTCCACTTACTCCCAACCACAGGCCAACGGCCATTTATGACAAGCAGGTCAAGACCCATTTACCACCTATCTTCTCGTCTGTCTCCTCTTTGGCAGCCATCTTATTTTCTCTGCCTACATCTGGAACAAGATCACTGCGGACAGTTGGATCCTGGAGATTATCCATCAGGGATACTCAACAGTTTCCTTCCTTCCCTCCTCACAAACCACCTTTGCAATCCCCCTTTGGGACCTGTTCTCACCAACAGATTCTTAAACAAGAATCAGAATCCCTTTTCTGCTGGGAGGTAGGGGAGAGGCATTTCCTGCCTCAATAGCAAGGGAGAGGATTCTGCTCCCTTTATTTCCTAAACCCCAAAAAAGGAAGAGAGTGGAGACCCATACTGAACATAAGAACAGCCATACTGGGTCAGACCAAAGATCCATCTATCCCAGTATCCTGTTTGCTGACAGTGGCCAATGCCAGATGCCCAAAGGGAGGGAACACATCAGGTAATCATCACGTGATCCCCCTCTCAAAAAAGATATACTGGCATTAGAAAAGGTTCGGGGAAGGACAACTAAAATGATTAGGGGTTTGGAACAGGTCCCATATGAGGAGAGAGTAAAGAGACTAGGACTTTTTGGCTTGGAAAAGAGGAGACTAATGGGGGATATGATAGAGGTATATAAAATCATGAGTGATATGGAGAAAGTGAATAAGGAAAAGTTATCATTCCAATAATATAAGAAGTAGGAGCCACCAAATGAAATTAATGGGCAGTAGGTTTAAAACAAATAAAAGGAAGTTCTTCTTCACACAGCGCATAGTCAATCTGTGGAACTCCTTGCCTGAGGAGGTTGTGAAAGCTAGGAACAAAACAGGGTTGAAAAGAGAACTAAATAAATTCATGGGGGTTAAGTCCATTAATGGCTTTTAGCCAGTATGGGTAAGGAATGGTGTCCCTAGCTTTTGTTTGTTAGTGGGGAGATGGATGGCAGGAGAGAGATCGCTTGATCATTTCCTGTTCGGTTCCCTCCCTCTGGGACACCTGGCATTGGCCACTGTCAGCAGACAGGATACTGGGCTGGATGGACCTTTGGTCTGACCCAGTCTGGCTGTTCTTATGTTCCTGTCATACTGGACCTTTGTCAACTCAGCATCATTATTCAGAAGCTGAAATTCTGTATGGTTATGCTGACATCTATAATCTTCCCCCCTTTAGGAGAGAGGGAATATGTTTTGTTGCTTTTGACATGAAAGGTGCATATTTTCACATAGATACTCATCTCATAGAAAATTCCAGCACTTCATGACTGATTGGCCAAGAGGACTATCAGTTTTGTGTTCTCCCTTTTGAGCTTCCTATAGCGCCTAGAGTAGTCACAAAAGTTTTCACCATGGTTGCAACCCAGATGTAACTCCAATGCTATATATTGTTTTCATACCTGGACAACTGGCTTCTGATAGGCTGATGTTGTCAGAACATCACTTTAACAGTAGGAGCTCTTCAGCACATTCTTGCTACTTTTAGATTTTTGAATAAACAAAATCTGTTTTGTAACCCACAAGGTTATAATGTTCATAGGAACATGGCTGGACTCAGTCTTTGCGAGAGCATTTCTCCCCTTAGGTTTTACATGATCACATGTAGGCCACTAACTAAAGTGCACTAGTGTCTTTCTCTGTTAGGCCACTTGGCCTCAGTTTGAGGTACCTGCAAGCTTGGCTCCAGTCAGCCTACTGACCAAGCAGGAATTATGTCCATTCCAATAGTGCTGTTCCCAAGAGAGTTCTGACCTCACTAGTTTGGTGGTCCAGTCCTACCTAAGTCATAGTGGGAATTCCATTTGACCCTTCCATTCTAATGGTCACTTTTCTGACAGACACGTCCTTTACAGGGTAGGGCACTCACCTGAACCATCACGCTACTTGGATCTCAACAGAGGCCACGGTACATATAAAGTAGCTGGAACTGAAAGCAGTACACCTTGCGTGCAAAGCCTTTTCCTCATATGCTCACTCCATATACAGATAGATGTCTGCATTCTGATCACATATTTCACACTCTTGTTAGAGAGAGGCTATTTAATTTCATGAATCACTTCACTGGTAGTTTCTTGTGCAGCTTGTGATTTGAGCCTACTGTTGTACTCCACAATAATGGCAGCAGGATAGTCTATAAAGAGCTTTAAATAGAGGATTTTAAAAACTATGGATAAGTAAAGAATACCAGCCATTCTGGGTAGAAGTGATACTGTTCCTGATTCTGAATGGTTCCATAATGATAGAAGAATGAATAATTTCTAATTGTCTGCAGTGTTCTCTGTAAGCTATGTGCTTGTGTAACCACTCAGGAGAGATGCAAATGCCACCCAGTTGATTAGCAGAGTGCCCAAGCAAGAATGTTTCTAATATTGTAAAGCTGAAGAACAGAGCAGTTGTACAGCATTTGTTTTATAGACTGTTTCCAAGGGTAATTATCTCCTCTGTCTGCTCTCCCCCTCCCGCCAAGCATCTGCATTTTCTAGGCTTCGCAGCAGAAGCAGGTCGTTAGAGGTAGGACTGTCAAAGAACTGGCTTAGTGAACAGCTTTAGAGAGATATTTTAAGCACAAAGGCATCATGGAAAGGCTGTGAGAAGCTGAAAATTTTATCAGTGCAAGTGTCACTAAAGGAGATGGCTTTTTTTATGTAAGGCTTGAATTAAACATAGCCATTGAAGTGGGATTTGAGTGACTTGAATAGCAAATTTAATGCAGTCAAAACATAGCCATCTTAATGAAGTATTACAATTTGCCTGTCTTTTTCTGAATGACGTTCACTGTCTGGTTCCTTTGATTTCAGTCTGCACACAAGCTGCTCCAATAGCATCTCTCTGACCAGTTTGAAAGCTGAAGAGATTCTCAAACAGAAACAACTGGATAGCCTGGTTACTATACCTTCTGTACCAGACAACAGCTGTGTTGCTGCTAGAATCCGCCCCATTTGCAGATACAAGAAACGCAAGCTGGTCCGAGCAAACACTGTGTCTCACCTTAGCAAGAAGGTAGGTACAAACTTTCAGTGAGTTCAGCCATATGGGTGCTAAAATACAACCTGCCCTGCATTTTATTCAGAACAAACACAAGGGAATACCACCTTTACTGCAAAGATGTCCAAGAGCATCACAAACATCCCTCAGAGTAGATAGTGCTATTTTACAAGTGAGAAAACAGAAATTGATTTGCCCCAGGCCACAAAGGAGACTGTCAGAGCTGGGATTAGAAGCCAGAGTTCCTAAATCCCAATCACATGCTCAGAGCATGACTTTGCAGTGACAGCCGAACTATGGTTTTAGTTTCTGCAGTGACATAATTATATTTCCCCCCACTTACCTTGCGCTTAGAGTGCTTGTTAGAAACATCTTATTCTTTATTTTGATGTTTCCAGTTCAGTATGTTTCTTGTAAATACCCAGTTTTCTTACATTGATGAGAGTTATTTGATGGTCTTATTGCCTCTTTTTCCATATGTGACTTATTTATTTCTGTTGCTTGGATTAATCTTTAAAAAACCTGAAAATTAAATTTCTTTTCCTTCTAGTCTTTGTCCTTGTCACTTGTTAGCACAAAGCCAACATGGCTCAATCTTGTTCACCAGCGCAATAAGAGAGGCAGTTATGGGCAAAAAGTTGTTAGTGCTCCCTCTTCTGATGGACGGAGCTTGCAAAGCACAACGTATCAGAGGAAGAGGCATCAACTATATCAAATATTGTCAATGGAAGAAAATTATATGATAAAAGAAACAAGGTATACTCACTTGGAAATGTCAGTTTAACTTTGAATTGTCCCTTTTAAAATAATACTATATGTTAGGATTGGGGGCTTAAGTATAATGATCAGATATTATAGGAATTCAGTTTTATCTTGAGCTAAAATGACAATTCCTGTCTTTTTAGTAGTGAAAATTATTGACTTTTTTAAAGGATCAGAGAGGGATCCTAGAGCAGGGCAAGTATTTGAAAGAAGGCAGTGATTGTATTCTTTGCTGTGCTCTGCGTATGTGCTGTTAGTGGCCCCTGTGTTTGGTTTACTGTTCTTTTGTTGGTTCACAAGCCTGTTATGTCTGTCTTTCAAAACTTATCTAAATACTTGACTTTTTGGAAGTTTGTTGTTAGGGCATGAAAGGTAGTTTGTAGAAATCAGACTTTGGAAACATTGGATCTGAACATCAGCATCTCTTAACTTGAAGAAAACACTAGTGACTTTTCCCTTTTTAGATGGCTGATCTCTCTTTTTTTTTTTCCTCCCCCCCCCCTTTGACCAGCCACAGAGACCTCTCACCGTGAAGTGTAACTGTGAATGGCCCAGGACTTGTATCCTATGTGATTGTAAAACATCTATTCAGGCCATAGACCCAGACACAATGTCCTTAGAAGAGCGTATAGCACTGCTGGATTCTGGCTTCCATCCCATATTGTCATTCTCTCATGGTGAGTAGACTACATGTTCTTAATATAAAATAAAGGACCATGATTCTGCTGATGTCCTGCTCTTCCTTCCACTTATAGGCAAAAAATGTCTAAAATACACTAAGCTTAATTTTAGGATAGTATGTATGCAGGCAATGGCCAGAGGCTTCCCATGAGGTTCTGGATAATTCCCCTTAGCTTTAATACAGAGATACAGCCCATTAAGACTACAGATCCGAGCATACCATGCTCTGAATAGAAGGGTACTGCTGTCTACTCGAGTTAATGTTTAAACAGATATCTCTGGCATTGGCGCTGCCGCCCTCTCTTGGGTTTTCCTTCTGGAAAGAAAGATATTTTTTTTGTTACGGCTTAATTTTCCATGGAAAATGCCCAGATTCTTTCCACGGAAAGAATAGCATCTTTAAAAAGGGAAGGGAAAGCCAGACCAAATCATAACCTCATTTTTGTTCTTGTCTGTTAGCAAAGTCTGTTGTGTTTTTAAAAGTCCGGTCCTTATAAATATTCTCTGTTTCTATTGGCTGCAGCAGTCGGACCAGCAGGGGACAGTCTCATCTCCTTTTGTATAATTCTAAATGTAGTAAATTAGCATACATGCACAGAACAGAACATGGAAGGATACAAATGCTAGCTCCTTAGGAAGGATTATCAACAAGAAATCTCAAAAATTACTAAAGCTGACTTCAGTACTCATCTTTGAGCAGTGCTGTCTCTAAAATGTATTTGAAGAGAAAAATTATTCTTCCAGAGTTGATGAAAAGATTCCCCATGGGGGGTATCCTAAATGAGGCCTCACCTCTGAATTCTCATTATTTGGCATGTGATTCTTCATTGTAGCCAGTGATAGTTAAGTTCTTTTGGAGGCTCAGGAATTGTTTGATTTCATGTACCCTATTAAACTTGATATAGGGTATTTACTATTGTTAAAATTTAACTTTTGGAGCACTGGACCTCTGGATACTGGGCGTATTCAAAATTATGTCAGGGCTATACTCTTGGAAGGAAGACTTGAGTAGAATCACTGCACTATGTGGGTATATAAGGGCAGATGTTTGTGAAGGAAAGAACAGGAAAGAGGGTACTCTTACAGCTGGGAAGGGAAAACAAAACTCTGAGTTTTGGAAGAAATGTAGGTAGGATTATTCTTTGTGATTGTCCACATTTATTCCAGTTTGGTACCCTTGTGCCCAAGACTGGATTCTGTGTGACTAGCAGTGTGTGTTTAGGCTGTCCCTATGTTCTAGATGCCCTCTTGCTCCTGATAGCTGAGGGCACAAAGGGAAGGGCAACCACAGCCATCCTTCGGTTCCATCTGAGGCAGACACAGAATCTTGTTCAGTGCATGTCTGGTCACTGTGATACCTTTTAATCTAGATCTTATTTTAGTGTTCCTTAATATAATTAAGTTAGGATAGTTTAAGCCCACTGGCCACAAAAAGAAGGTCTTTATCTTTGAGAGTGCTCCCAACATAAGGGGCCCCTGACATGGCAAAATCAAAATCTATGTCCCTCCACAAGGCAGATATCCATATTAGTGACAGACATTCAGAAAGACTTCCTCCTCACTGAAGCATATATTCCAGATAAATGCACCACATGTTGCTCTTTTTCAAAGCAAGGGAATCCCACCTAGAAATGTTCCTCCTGAAGATGTCCATGAAGGCATACTCCAAACCAGAGGTGAAGAAAATGACCAGAGCAGTGACCCATGTGGCCATTAGAGCTTTGAGAACAACCTACTTGTTGACTACAGGATCAGTGGGAGGGAGTCTCCGTACACTCCTCAGCAATGAGCACTGCTCTGAGTGTTTTGAGACAGATTTCCCATGATGATCCAGGAGGCAGTTCAAAATCTGGATCAAGTCCTGCTGACAGCTTGGCCCAGACAGGTAGGTTACTGGACACACTTGTCACAGCCTGGGGAAGGAACCTGTTCATGCCACTGCTGATACTTATCTTTCAGTTGTCTGTTCTCCACATACCAGCCAATTTCAACAAAGCCTCCCAAGGAAGAGACAAAGGTTCCTGAGATGAAGATATTCTGCCATATTCCTCCTGCATCAACCTCCTGTCATCTAATTTAACTGGACCACTGGGAGACTGTCAGCTATTCCAGGCCTTTCTGCTGCCCCCATCTCTCTGTTCTCATGCCTTTATAGCAAGGCTTGTTTTCTTTCTTGTTCTCTGCTGTGGTATGTTCCTTCATGATTGGCAGGTCTGGCAGCTGTATTGATATGTGGCCAGCATAGTTGTCTGTAAGCAGGAAAGATTCTCCCCTCACTTCTGCCTATGCTTAATATGGGCTTTGTAAACCTAACTACAGAACCAAATAGACCCACAGGATTTGTATTGCATTTGTCTCACCCTTCCCCCACCATATTAAGAATAGTTTGTTTTGTTTTCAGGAGGCCTGGAACCTAAAACCAGTAGGTCCTAGAAATTGAGCACATGAGATATGCAATACAGTTTCAAAGTCTCTCCCTGCCCCACTTTCCTGTTCCTCTTCAGGGACCCCTCTCACAGGATATTGTTAAATGAGAGCCTTTTTTCTACAGTTCTTAGCAGTAGAAGAAGAGCCTCTAGAATTCCAGTACAGAAAGTTTTATTCATTTTGTTCCCTAATTCCATTGCTGAATGGAGGTTGGTGCTCAATTCTAGATCTCCAACAACTCATTGATTGGCATTTTACGTTCAGGGTGGTGACCTTAGTTTCCTTAGTTCCTACCATACAACCTCAGGACTGATTTGTGGCTCATAGCTTACAGGATGTTTGTTTCCAGACAGCTGTTCAAACCGACACTCAGTAAATACCTCAAGTTCCATGTTGGAAAGATGCATTATCAGTACCTGGTGCTTTCCTTTGGCCTCTCTGCAACTCCCAAAGTATTGACCAAGTGCTTTACAGTTATGGCAGCATATCTAAGGATCCAAGGAGTGCAAATCCACATAGACCTTGAGATTTGGTCACCCAAAAAGTCTCTCCTCAACAAGTGAGCAATTTCATTCAAATAAAGCTGGAACTCTTCACTCCCTTAGATCTCAATACAACAGAGAGAAATCCAGTCTTACCTGGTCAAAACATAGAGCTGATGGGGGCATTAGTTGACTACACACTGACATAAACCTCCTGGACCTACATGACACAGTTCTCCAGATTTACACTGATGTTAATTAACTTTGCATAGAGTGATTAATGGGGCTCCCTCCCCCTTCGAACCTCTAGCAGACTTTTCTTTATACCACTTGTCTTTGACAAACCCTTTGGTGGTTTAGAACCTCTGCCTGGAGAATAAGAGAAATCCAGGTCACCATGGCATATACATCATACCATAGGAACGAGGTAACATCAAGGCATCATCCAAAGTTCCTGCCGAAGGCTGGCTTGGATTTTTCACCTGAAACAGTATGCCACCTGACAGTTTTATTTTCCAAGCCTTGTAGTAGTCAAGGGGAAGCCAACATCACACCTTGTGTGTGCTCAGAACTTTCCTACTGTGCCCAAGACAAGACCATTCAGGAAATCTCAAAGATTGTTCCTAACCTTTTCTGACAGGACTAAGCATCAGTGGATACTCACTGGAAGATTTTTTTTTTTAGCTTTCTGGTTATATCAAGGCATGCTCCACAATAGCTCCTTTGAACCCATCTTTACTGATTATGACCCATTCCGCCAGGGTTCAAGCATCCTCTGCAAGTTCTCGTTTTAGGGGCGTTCCAATTTGAGGTTCATAGACCAACCACCTGGGTGAAGGTGTGAACTGAATTCAGCACTACTTGGTGGAGAGCTCCAGATCAGACACTCACTTTGGCAGATCTGTCTTACTGTGTCAGCAGACTTTGAGCACCCACCTTTTGGACAGGTGATCAGAACTGGTGAGTTACCAAATAAATACATGTGGACAAACACAGAAACAGTGGTTATTTAGTTGACAATAACTGTGGGTTCTTCAAGCATTGTTGTCCAGGACAAGCTGCCCTGTTGTTCTTCTCGGTTCTATAGAGTCATATAACACCTAGGTTCTGATTTTTAGGAAGCAAAAGGGTGATTTGTGACTACCTTCATTCATTTATGTCCTTGGCTGCTAGCCCCAGCTAGCTCCCAAAGAGCCTCTTACACACATGAGGAACAAGCGCCCCAGAAGTGGAATAAATGTTGAGAACATATCTCGAAGAACCACACTTCCTATAGAAGTTCTTACCAACCACCACAGGACATACCACACTAATACCAACCCTGGTACCTTCCCTTGCAACAAACCCCGTTGCCAGCTTTGTCCACATATTCATTCTGCTGATACCATTATTGGACCCAACCAAGTGAGTTATAAGATCAAGAACACATATTCCTGCGCATCCAGAAATATAATCTACGCTATCATGTGCCGAAAGTGTCCGTCTGCTATGTACATTGGACAAACATCTCAGACACTTCGCCAAAGGATTAATGCCCACAAAACAGATATCAGACAAGATCACAAAGAAAAAACAGTTTCTTGCCATTTTAACCAGAAAGGACACTCTCTCAATGACTTGACCACCTGCATTCTGCTACAAAGACCTTTTACATCTGCACTTGAAAGGGAATCCTCTGAACTGTCATTCATGTTAAAATTCGACACTTTCCAACAAGGACTTAGTTCAAATGTTTGTTATCTCACCCATTACCAAGATAGTTTCCCCAATTATCACCTCTAATACCATTAACTCACAAACATCCCACTCTCCCTACCTCTAATATCATCAATTCACAGACACTTACCTTCCTTCCCCCTCCCCCCCACCGCATCCCCCTCCTGTTCTGCAATGTGATTTGTCCTTTTCATATTTGTTCTTTTTTTTAATTGTATCCTTTGGTATATACGGTTGTGACTACTTTCTTCCACTATTTGATCTGAGGAAGTGGGTCTGGCCCACGAAAGCTCATCATCTAATAAACCATCTTGTTAGTCTTTAAAGTGCTATATTGTCCTGCATTTTGCTTCAACTTCCTATAGAGTAACTGTTCTTTCTTTCAGAAAGGTTTTGGCAAGTGTAAGGACAAGACGTTTGTCATGGAGTTTAAAGGCAGATTAAGCAACCGGAAGGGTGTACTTTTCCATAATGCAAGAATGAATGTCTCCATTTCAGAGATGTTAGGTTAATTTCTGCTGTAACTTATATTTGCTTTTTACATTAAGACTAGAAAGACAGTAGGAGATGAAATATGAGAAGCCTTTGCTAAAGCTTTTCAGAGAATTACACAGGCCAGTGTCAAGAAACGATAGTGTGACTGGAAATGGCTTAAGCCAGCACTGCCTGAGAGTGGGAGAGGTAATGCACTATGGCACAAAGCCGAATTCCATGAGCTCGATTGTCTTGACCAGCTGCTTTATTGCAGGAAGGCTGTTCTTTTGGAGCCTCTCCCATACTAAAGTTTCTCTATTGCATTGTCTGTGACAACAGGCTGTAAGATTAAAAAGGGAGGGGATTTGTAGCTGCTTAGCTGCATGTGTCACTTCCCTATGTATAGAATTTAACAGTACTGGCAGGTGCAAATTACAAATTATGTCTCTACAACACTGGTGTTTGTGTGTGTGGGGAGAGAGGATTTGTGTATATAGAATAACCTGTTGTTTTTGTTTTCAGGCAAGCCTCTTCACTTGCACTTTGAAACCTTGCTAAGAGAGGACAGGCAGCATAGATTGAGTCATAAGTTCAAGGCTTTGAAGATGTCCCATTTTGGAAAGAAGCCACAAGAGCTAACCAACAACATTTTACCAAAGCTAGGCCTATCGCCTCTCTCTGCATCCAGTAAGTTCAGCTGAAATGCGGTGTAAACTTACATGTAGGCTTAAACAGGTGACGAAAGTGTAGTCTCTAGTTCCTGCCATTTCTGTAGAGAGTATCAATAAACTCAGTCCAAACATGTGAGGTAGTGAGTAGCTTTGGCATCTTGCAAACTGCATAAGTTCTGACCCCCTCAGTGGACAGCCTAGATGCCTGCTTTCAGGTCTAGACTAAATAAGTGGTTACTAACCAAAATCCTGACAGCGTGGTGAGTAATGAATTAACAAGCGAGGCAAAGAAGAGATATCTGTTGGTCCTTCTGTGTATTAAGTCAAAGCAAGTGTGTGTCCACCTGCCAAAAGTGCCTGGCAAGTTCCTGCCAAATATTTGTTTAATTTGTGTATCAGAGCTGCCACAGTTGCTCTTCACTCGCTTCTCCTGTACTGTTTTGTGTTTGGCTAGGCTCTTGCTTCTTTTAGCCTGTTAAAATGCACGATATTAAAATTATCTTTACAAGTTAAGATCTTAGGAAAACTGACAGAAGCCCCCAAGACTATAAACCAGTTCCATGTTAGAAAGAATGCAACCCCAGTTATAGCACTCCTCTTGTTTAATGCACCAGGGTGCATGTTTTAATTTGGGGGAGGTTTAGAGCATATTTTCTTATTCCCCAGACTTACAGAAAGTAGCAAGCATAAAATGTAGCCTGCAAGCCAGACATGCCAATAGAGTTCTTACAATAGGGCTCACAACTGTTGACTGTGACATACTTGTTTGTTTTTCAGCTGTTGATACAAATTATCATGAATAAATTAGAGAATATTAAAAAAAAACTCTTTATGTTCAAAATACAGACTGGCACCAGGCAGTGTAGTTTTTGGTATTTGGTACACATCCCAGGAGTGAATTCCACTTTGTGCCTTCAGCTGAAAAGGAAAGCAGTGTACACATTGGCATAAGAAGAGTTAATTACCCTACCCATTATTTCCAGTCTCAATTTTCCTCTTTTAGAAAGGAGGTTACTTGCAAAGACTGTAGATTTCATTCATCCAGGAGTTAATTCAAGAGACGCTGAGTAGAGAATGGGCAGGCTGTTAACACTGAAGTTAACAGTGTTCTCCTTTCTAGGTTTAAGGAGCCTAATAAAGAAGGCAAACTATTGCACTTAAATATAAATTCCATCATCTTGTATTGTGTGTCAGTTTCCATGGCTTTACTGTGTGCTTTAGAATAGCTTCTGTAATACTGTTTTGCATCCCTGCTGCTCAGAGTTTTAATGCTGGCTTCTCTCCAGTGGGGTCAGAAAGCCCTTCTCTTATGTAGCATATTCTACTGCTGCCAGCAGTGCACATCCAGTGGTGTTTTTCTCTGATAATAATTGACTTAATTTGATTCATGCTTGAGAGGACACATCAGCCTTTCTTTGCAGTTTTATTTGCATTTGGTGGTACTCATCACTTCCTGTCCTAAAACTATGTAGTATGGTTCAGATCATTTGATCAGCTACTCCATTTGGCAGCAGAGAGAGGCTACATTTCAGTGGTGGGTGAAAAGATCTTTATATATCACTCCTTAGAATAGTGTCATGGAGCTTAATTGTAATGTTCTGAGCTCACTGAATGGAAGGAGTTCTGGTGAGTGTGTTTATTTCATAGAAACAGCACAAATTGATGAATTCTGTACATAATCTAGAAATAAATACTGTGCCTGCCCTGTGTGGTATATGATATAAGACTGATAGAAAAAACGATGCACTGTGGGAGAACAGTTTAGCAAGGTGGGTGTTAATTTATTACTCATGGGTCTCATTTAAGAAGTGAATCTTTTATGAAGGTTTTGAATGGAGAGGGTGGCAACTTGCAAACTAGGATTGGTAGCATGCTCCATTTATAGGAATAGCATGGAAACGTGCAACAAGTGGGAAAAGGAAAATTAGTTAATTACATATAAAAGGTAGGGGAGATATAGTTAGGGAGAAGGTCTGAGATGTGGATCAGAATGGTATTGTACAGGAGTTTAGTTTTAACATCATTTCTTCTTCCCTTAAATGTGATACACAGGAGGGAATGATACAGAGATGGGGCTGATGTGATGGGGAAGACTTTTGGTGGCCACATTTTGGACATACTGGAGTGGAGTCTAGTTTTTTTGAGTTATGTTCATCATAAAAAACCAATAAAAATACATTTCACGGGTAATATGTTCAGTTCTGTGCAGTGCTGATATTTCACTCGAGGTTCTGACTTGTACATTTGACTCCATTCTCCTTGGTTTTAGCATTTGTTCCACAATACAGACTGTATTCCCTAGCTTGGCTCCGTGGTCTGACAGATAGGAGCATCAGTGAGGTGTATGACTGGATTACTCTACCTTTACTTGGGTTCTCTGTTCATGTTCTTTATTAACAGGTTCATTGTTTAAAGAGGAAAGTCAGTTTAAAGGAACAGACAGTCACAGCTTGCTTGCTTCTAGTTCTGAGACACAGAAACATAGTCCTTTGATACACCACCTACCATCTTTGTATCTCGAAACTCCTCCAGCGTCCTCTTCCAGCCAGTGCCCTTCTGCTGATAATTCAACAATGGTGAGTCAGAACATCATCTGTGCCAAACAGCCTACAAAAGGGAGCAATGTTTTAGTGGAGCAGGCAAATATCTGCATTATAGGACATTGTCAGTGGATGTTCAGATCAGAGTGGACACCTGTGCCAAAGCTATAGGATGGGAGTCTTTGCCTGCCAATAGGCTACAGTGACAGTCTGGAAATGCCTTTATTAAAAAGATCTTGGTATTAAACAGCCAATAGCAACTACTTGCTTCATCTGTCCGAGCCATCACCTAAAGCAGCCAAGGTGTTTGCTTTACTACCACCAGGGCCAGTGTAGGTGGTCTGTAAATTTGATACTAAGCATATCACTTGGAAGGAAACATTGAATGACCAGCTACAATTTGGGAAATGACTGGCCAGGTGGTAGTATTGTTGAGAGTGATGATTCTGTGGTGTATTAGCGTAAGTCTTGTGTGTAAGATACAGGAAGTAACTGTCTTGCCCTACTCCGCATTGGTGAGCTTCAGCTTCAGTATTGTGTCCAGGTCTGGGTGCCACATGTTAAAAAAAAAAAAAAAAGACATGGACAAATTGGAGGGTCCAGAGGAGAGCAATAAAAATAAGACTTAGAAAGCCTGACCTATGAGGAAAGGTTAAGAGGCATGTTTAGTCTTGAGAAAAGCAAACTAAGCCAGGACCTGATAACAATCTTGAAATATGTTAAGGGCTGAACTCAAAGGGTTTGGAATAGGCTTCTAAGGGACATTGTGGAACCCCCACAATTGGAGTTTTTTTAATAACAGATTGAAGAAACACCAGTCAGAGAGTAAGGCTAAGATTTTGTCGGTTATTTTTTGATTGGTTTGTGACTATTAAAATTAGGGCTGTGGCAGGGCCAGGTACAGGGACAAGAATAACAGCTGGAATCCCATGGGGAGAGGAAATGGGGAAGGAGTGATATGTGGGACTTCTTGCCATTGGTGGAGGGTTCAGCCTCCCGCTCTGGGGTTAGTGCAGGGCATGGGCATGGATATGCAGCTCCAGCCACAAACACACAGCCCTGGTGGGTGGAGAAAAGGATGGGGCATGTCCCAGATCCCACAAGGAGGGTCCACAGCCCCCGCTGTGGGGTAGGAGCATGCTTCCCTGGCTGCAGCTTCCGTCATAAGCTGTGGAGCAAGGGCATGTGGCCACGGGGCAGGGATACATGGCTGCAGTCCCTACTGCAGGGCAGGGACACATGGCTCCAGCTGCAGTTCCCTGGGTGCAGCATGGCCATAGCCCCACTTTAGCCCCTGACAATTAAAGCCAAAGATGTCTCAGAAGTCTGGTAAAGTCACAGAATTTGTGACTGACATGACCTCCTTGGCTATGTTGTAGCCTTAGAGATGGTCTAGGTTTAATTGGGCTGGCCACAGTGCAATAGACTTTTTCTTTCCAGCCCTTCACTTTTGTGATTCTCTAAGCCCTATGCATAAATGAAGCTCTGTGTGAGCTCCATGACTCACTGTTTGGTTACTAATTAGTGGGAGAGAACTGAATTGTTTTGGACTGCTCTAAATGAAGCAAAAATATCAACAGGAAATTGTTTTTAGTATTTGCTTGACCATTTTGCAGAGAGGGAAGTGCTACCTCTTACCTTGATCATTTCCACAAGCTCATGTATGTTAAACATTGACTGGCTCTTGTACAGGCCTCTGTGGATATGGAGTGAGTGCTGGGAGGAGACTTTGAAATGACTGATTACATTTATTGCTCTCTCTTACCCTGCATCTTTGTCCAGTTTCCCCCCCCCCCCCCCCCCCCCCCCCCCCCCCCGCCCCCCCAGGGGGGGGGGGGGGGGGGAATCCCTGTGACCGAAGCAGATGAAGCAGTACCAAAACTGAACTGCTTTCCTGTTGCCCAGATAGCTTCAGTGGGGCTGGCCCATCTCCATCCTATGTTGACCACTCCAGATCCATCTTGTGCTTCACTGCTATATCCAATGTATTTGTAGACTATTCTTCTTTGAGAACTCCCGCAGAGTCTACTGACATTGACTTCAGTGGAAATGTCAGAGGGGATGTTGCCTAAGTCTCCATCCAGCTGCAGTTGTCTAGGGGTGAAGTTGGAATTTGGACCTGGTAGCCTTGGCCGGCTCTAAAATGGCAAAATCTCTTCAGAAGCGTCCTGATCCTTTAGAATTTGGTTATTATGAAAATGTCTTCCCATCCATGTGTCAAGGTTTTTACACTTACTCATCACTCCGACATCCAAGCACCTAACTTTTGGCTGCTACTGAATTAAAATATGCCAATATTGCACCAAACTGCAGCAGTGAGTCTCAGAGTTCACATCAGCTGACCCAGGCTGGAGCTCAGGCTTTGAAAACAAGTGAGAGAAGACAGCCTCAGAGCTGAAGTACCTGCCCAATTTGAAATATCTACAGTACTACTTTTAGCCCGGTAGCATGAGTCAGTTTACCCAAGCTCTGAGACTCAAGGCTGTTGGCAGTTCTTTTTACTCTGAGGACACACCCTCAGTCTCTGTTTGAGCTTTTTACCTCTTAGAACTAAGAGGTCATTTGTTGCATGCTGAGGTGTGGGGACTTCCAAAAACCTGATTTACAAGTAGAGGGAAAACTCAAGACTGAAGCTCATATTCCAGTCGAGGGAGGAGATGTGCTTAGCTGAGAATAATTGAATAATCAATAATACTTTGTTTGCCTATGTGATCGTAAAATACTTTACAAATATTATTGACAAAACCAATGTAAGATGGGTGAATATACCTACTTTAGAGAAGAATAAATTGAGCTGTGGGGTTTGCTTGATGTGGCCCGACTATCACAGCAGGTTGGTGGAGGAACTGGGTGAGGGGGAAAAAAACAAGGAATCCTGCTTACACTCTACTCTAAACACAGAGGCTAAGTCTACACTGCACATTGTTGCACAAGACGGTATGCAAATGAGGTGTGTTGATGAATATCACTGTGCCTCATTTGCATACCTAATGAGCTGCCATTTTGTGAAAAGGGCTTTTGTGCAAGAGCCATTCTGTCGCTTATTTTCAGGAAGAACGGCTCCTGCGCAAGAGGGGCCTTTTGTGCAGGAAGGAGCAGTGTAGACAGCTCCTTCTTGTGCAAAAGCCCCTTGCACAAAAATGGTGTTTCATTAGGTATGCAAATGAGGCGTGCGTGGCGATATTCATTGACATACCTCATTTGCATATCTTGCGCAACGATGTAGACGTAGCCTGAATGTGGTTCCGTGGAAGCTACTTTTTCCATTATATGATTTGGAAGTTCTTTTGTGTTGACACTAATGCTCTGGATTTTGTTCCATTCCACTCTCCGTGTGATTTCAGCTGTCTTCTAAGAAAAGAAAAGTGGAATGTTCCTATGACATCAATAATATTGTGATCCCAGTATCGATGGCAGCAGCTACTCGAGTGGAGAAATTGCAGTACAAAGAGATTCTAACACCAAGGTATCTACTGATTGGAAAATAGTAACAAATCTGTATGTTCCGCATACAGTGATGTTATTTTGGCTGTGAAAAGGTAACACTTTTTTTCTTCAAGTACTTGCTCGTGTCCATTCCACCTTAGGTGTGTGCGCTCGCCACGTGCACCAGTGCCAGAAGTTTTTCCCTTAGCTGTACCCATAGGGGAGCACCTCGGTTGACCCCTGAAGTAGTGCCTCTATGGCGTGGTATAAGGGATGCCACATGCTCCATCCACCCTCAGTTCCTTCTTGCCACCAGTGACAGTGCTGGAGCCTTCTGTTGCCTAGTGTGAGCGTTGTTGGAAATTATCTGCCTAGCAGCTTTTCCTTGTGTAAAAAGTTCTACAAAGTTCTCACCCCTTAGTCGCTTTTTAGTGTAGTTACACCAGTGGTCCCCAACGTGGTGCCCGCCGGGCCATTTCTATGCGCCTGCCGAGAGATCGGGCCGGGCCGGCCCCGCCCCTGGACGTGTGGTGCATGGGCACTGCCGGCTTCTGGGCGTGCGGTGTATGGGCGTCTTCCCCCTCTCCCCCTCCCAGGCACATGGCACAGGAGCGGCACCGGCCCCAGGTGTGCAGCACATGGGCGCTGCCAGCTTCTGGACACGCGGCACAGGAGTGGTGCCGGTCCCAGGCATGCAGTGCATGGGCTGTTCCAGCCCCGGGCATGTGGCATATGGACAGCCCCACCCCTGGGCATGTGGCACAGGACAGGCCCCGGGAGTGCAGCGCATGGGTGGTGCCGGCACTGGGCACGAGGCGTATGGATGGTCCCACGCCTGGGCACGTGCGCGGCCCAGCCCCTGGGCGTGAGCGCAACACGTGAGTGGCTCTGCCCCCGGGTGCCCGGCATCCCCTAAAGGTTGGGTACCACTGAGTTAGACTTTAGGTTATTTTTAAGGCATGTGACCACTGCAAGCATACCATGCCCATCAGTGACCCTCACACCAGCTGCCTGTAGTGTCTGGGAGCTATAGCATCTATAAATTTTTCAAGCCCTGGACTAAACAGGAAAGAGATATTGGCCTCTGGGTCGTCTCATGGAGTCCACGTTGGCTCCGGCACCTCAGCAACAGCCAGACTCCGCTCCAGGCACTGCTACATCAGTGTCCTGCTAGTGCCATTTTCCAGCCAGCTCTGGTTCCCTCTTTGGCTCCTTCCAGTAGGGCCCAGAAGATGGAGAGGCAGGTCTACTTCCCACAGAGGGAAAGGAAGGGCTGGAGGAGAGCCGCGATCTGTGATGGGTCACTCTACTTCTGTCAGGGTCTCCAGCACTGGCTCAGGTTGAGCAGTGTAGCTCTCCCTCTGCGAGGCCTTCCACTCTGGACACCAGCGAGAACGCTCCCAGATGGAAGGTCCTCTCAACTAGGAATGTAAATAACTTAAAACAGTTAAAGGGATAAAGTCATACTGTTTAACCGGTTAACTGCTGCTAAGCGGGTCCTGCCCGATGGCCCAGAGCGGCAGGGACCCCGCCTGACCCTGGCCACCTAGGTTACTTCTGCAAGGCCAGGATCCCTCTAGCCCACCCTGGCAGGGCCGGGATCACTCCGGACCACTCTGACTCAGCTGGGACTGGGATTTCGCTGGCCTGCCCAGGGTCCCACCTCACCACCCAGGCCACTCCAGCACAGCTGGGGCAGGGATTTTGCCAGCCCATCCAGGTGGGGCTAGAATTCTGTGTGACCAACTGGGCCTCTCCTGCCTGGCCAGGGATCCAACACAGGCACAGCCGTCCAGACTCAGCCAGGGCTTCTCAAGCCTGGCACAGTTGGCCATCCAATTGGTTATCTAGTACTCATTGCAGTTAGTCTAATACTTACTGGATAACCAGTTAACTTTTTACATCCCTACCCTCGACGCCTGCAGCCCTGCAAGCAACCCAGGACATTCTGGTATTATCAGTGCTGCACACATGGGCCTTAGTAGTCCCCCAATCTAAGGGTAAACTCATGTTGGGACCGATGCTCAGGTCCCCACCCCACCAGCACCATTCTCCAGGGGAACTTCCCATGCACATGCATCAGCATGAAATCGACATGCCTTGGAAACTGGGAGCCTGCAGAGATCCCTGAGCTGCTGAGAACGGGATTGACGCCAATCACCGGTGGTCCATCACAGAACTACATAGGCAGGCATCTACTTGTGGAACTAGCAACACTGAAACTCCCGCCCTGACTTGGATCGTGTGACTGCCTTGTGGGCCGCAGTTGTCATTGTTACTCGCAGATAGTGGGCCCCGAGATGCATGTTTTAGGCAGGGTCTTCAGGACACCATAGATACATTAGTTCTTGGTCCTGCTTCAGGCCCCAATTTCGTTTGCACAGCTTAAGGAGTAGATCCCCAGCCTACTGTTGCAGATCTGCTGAGGGGGGCATCCCAATCTGAACGATCGGGGTCAAGGCACAGTGACTGGCTGCCTGTTGCTCCACACTGCTGCCTCTGATACAG